TACAATTACAATTAAAACCAAATTTACAATTATTTTAAATGTGTGTACATTTTTTCGGGACACCCTGTATATTGATACTGTTCACAGGACTGACTAGACATCACACTCTACGTTGGGATTTGTTTGTAAAAATGTGAAGGGGATTATGGTGGCCTAGCCTCTTGATTTACACCATGGGAATGACGTTTGAGCGTGAACCTCTATGTGCTTAAGGGGATTGGGTTTTCCACATGGCCATGGAGGGTAGCCGACGGCCTTCCTGACGACACGAAATTTCCTGTTCTTTCGAAACCTATGAATTGCGGAAGGCATTATCGCTCCCACATAGACTAAATGGGGTTTTCTATTCTCTATCGTCCGCTTTTACAGTGTCAGTAGAAGTTGAATCTAGCCCTCGTATCGCCCTCTTAGTCTTTGTATTACAATAACTAAGTGTACAGACTATTGCGCATCAGTATGAGGGACTCTACCATTACCAGTACAAATACTGCTACTAAAGAGGCGGCGACTTACGCATGGTAAAAGAAGACCCCCCCCCTCATTCACCTGGGCCCGATTTCATGAACAGGTCAATAAGACTGGCCGAGCCACCCCTGGGCATGCTGCTGCACCTGGCTCGAATTCCAGCTGATTTGGAATGTCACAGACGCCACATGTGGAAGGAACCATTGCAGCCTGATTCTCCGTCTTCTTATTGGCCACTCCACATAAACACGTACTTGGCTGACTGCGCGGTCCGAGTAATCCCGTTGGTTGGCAACTTTCTCAGCCACAGCTTTTAAGGCAGCACAATGTTTTCGAGCGTATGAGATTGTTTTATTTCGAGGAAGGTGCGTTGTACCGGCGATCTTACTTTCTATTCCCAGGCCCCAGCTACCGTCCTAGCTGGTCAGTGGACTGATTCGAAGACTAATAATATCCCCATTACTTCTACTAGCAAGGACTTGTTTTCTCTGATGCGGAGTCTAGGAAGAAGGGTTTCACGCGTCCCCCGAATTTTCGCGTTCCTAGAAAGTTGCTTTGCATTCTCAGCCACACGCATTTGTGTTGCTTCCTTACGGTTTTCAGGTTATAGTTTATTCCATCTTCATCCTTTCCAGATTGCTAGCAGTACTGAGAGGTCGGTACAAATTTAGGCCCAGGAATTTCATCGCTGACAACAAAACTTTCCCACATCCCAAATATCTTGCATGGACTGCGAGCTATGTCCTGTAAATCAGACTTCCGTAACCGCGAGAGTTTCGCACGCCTAAACCTTTTGAGTTGCTACTTTTTGGATTTATCGCCGGCACTATTTGCCAAGTTAGCGAAGTTTTTTTCTTCAGTCTTCGTATCCCACTGGGATGTATGGAAGCCAAAAAAAGAATACCG